TGACTTACCTCCATGCCAAATATGAAGACTGTGGGTCAAAGGAATCTTAAGTTATTGGGCGGACAAGCTTTCTGAAGTCAAGGCCCCTGTGACCTTGACCTTTGACCTGGTGACCTCAAAATCAATAGGGGTCATGTACTAATCATGACTTACCTCCATGCCAAATATGAAGACTGTGGGTCAAAGGAATCTTAAGTTATTGGGCTGACAAGCTTTTTGAAGTCAATGCCCCTGTGACCTTGACCTTTGACCTAGTGACCTCAACATCAATAAGGATCATCTACTAATCATGACTAACCTCCATGCCAAATATGAAGACTGTGTGTCAAAGGAATCTTAAGTTATAGGGCGGACAAGCTTTTTGAAGTCAAGGCCCCTGTGACCTTGACCTTTGACCTGGTGACCTCAAAGTCAATAGGGTTCATCTACTTATCATGACTAGCCTCCATGCCAAATATAAAGACTGTGGGTTAAAGGAATCTTAAGTTATTGGGCGGACAAGCTTTTTGAAGTCAAGGCCCCTGTGACCTTGACCTTTGACCTAGTGACCTCAAAATCAATAGGGATCATCTACTAATCATGACTAACCTCCATGCCAAATATGACGACTGTAGGTCAAAGGAATCTTAAGTTATTGGGCGGACAAGCTTTTTGAAGTCAAGGCCCCTGTGTCCTTGACCTTTGACCTAGTGACCTCAAAATCAATAGGGGTCATCTACTAATCATTACTAACCTCCATGCCAAATATGAAGACTAAGGGTCAAAGGAATCTTAAGTTATTGGACGGAAAAGAAAAAACCGACGGCCGGACGGACGGACAAGGTGATTCCAGTATACCCCCCTTACAAGTTTGTTGTGCGGGGGTATAAAAATCTAGACTATTCGCTTTCGTAAATTGTTGTTTTTTTATTGTTTTTTTTTTCAAACGAATGATATTCGTAATATTCGTCTGAGGTGTAAAACTTGTTATTGCTGTACTTGATGTCTTGTTTGAATTCATTGAATAAAAAATCAATGATGAGTTGAATAATAAAACATTGTTATTGTGAGATAAGTGCTTGTCATGCATATGTTTTTGGTGTTGTTGTTTGTAGACGAAAGTATGGTGTACCGTTAGGGTCATCGTTTCTTTGCATCAGCGGCCATAATAAAATCCATAACGCCAAGGCGATAAACAAGGCAATGCCCCGTAGCTGAACTGAATCATCTTATTGGCTCATTGCCTAATTATAATGTCTAATCTTCACGTAGCTTATTTGCGTTGTATTTACTTTATCGTTTATTATCAATAGAACTCCGGTTAAGAAGAAGTTAAAGGGAAATGTGTTAGAACTTCGATATATCAAGGTTTCAACTCGTGAATCGGCCTCATTTCAAGGTGGTAAGTTACAAATGGCGTCATAAAAGGAAAGGGCGGCGACTTAAACATCTTAAAGTAAATATATTTCGTATATTTATTATGCGACAATTTTAAACTTACGTGATGTATTCTTGGAGCGTATTTGTCCGATCCAACGTCTACAACGTACACTCTGCTGCTGCCGAGACATGGCATTATCAAGCGGTTACGTGATTTTGACGGGTCGTCATGACAACTTGAACAAGCGTTCCATCCGGTGTGGTGAACCTCGTCCTGGATATGTGGTAGGTACATTCTGTGTATTATCTAAAATTGATACAAAGCAATTTGGTATTGATAAAAAGTAAAATGTGAACAGTTCATCCTAAGCTCTTAAGCCATTATTGTTAATGCTTATAATCATAAAGTTTACTCTGACCTGTCGTATTTTATTCACCAAATGCTCAAATTGATTCAGTCAATCGAATATTATCGGTAAACTTCGGCTAAGTTCGGTTAATCTCGGCTTGGTTCGGCCATATTTGAATTGTCAAATCGGCGCCATAGTTATGTGATCCGGCTTAATATGCCGGTTAGACTAAAATGAGAGAAAGAGAAATATTTTACATGATACATTAAGTTATTGTAATTCTTAGATTACTGTTCCAATAATCATGTTGTCATATACTAGCTAAATATTTCTTTGTCAGTTTAAAAAAAATATTGCGTCAAGGGAGATTATTATGTTTTAGCAAGGGAGATAATTATATTTTATAAATACCTTTGAATAATCTGGGGATTTGGGATCAACATTGACGGTGACAAGATAATCCGGTCTGTTGGATCTGGTCTGTGGGGGTATAATACATGGGATGTAGACTATCTCCTCCCGGGGGCCATTCTTCATGGCGTCCATCGGTGAGGCATAGCCGGGTCCTTTTCCGCAACAAGCTGAAAAAGAGATTTACGTTTTATAAAACAAATCAACCTTCAAGGAATAAAATCATCAACTAAGATTGAAAATAAAGTAAAAAAGCATGTTTTTTTTATTATCATTAGACTCAGAATTGTATCTTGATATGAAGCGTAAAATATACACGAGCTTTCAGTAGGGCAGCTAATTCAATGCTTGTAAGTAAAACTAGGGCCTGAGAAATGTAAGTTTTTACAAATAGGAAGGTTTTAATCACAAACATAACAAATGTACATTAAAAATGTTACTAGTCTTGGACAATGACCGAATAATTTCGATAAATTCACTAAGGGTCTTATTTCATTCAAAATACATGCCAATGTTCTGGCCCTTGGAATATGACCTTGAACTGTAATTCAAAAAGCATTCATAAATGAAGTTTCAAGATTATACAGAAATCTGTATCTATTTCTAAGATTGATGTTGCAAGCAAAAATTTACCAAAAAATATTCAAAATTCAAAAAGGGCCATTACTCAGCCAAAAACCAAAAGTTAAAGTTAGACCCCTTCAACGGTGACTTTCAATTCTAATCCCAAAGAAATGTATTAAGTTTCATGTGGCCTGTATTTATGCTTTCAAGTAAGTGTGTTAATCTACAAGAAAAATTTGTTATCATTGTGATGCATGTAAATTTTAAACATAAAGGGCCGTAATTCAGTATTAAATTCAATTGAATACCTTGAGTAGTTTAAAGGACTAATGTTGCATCAAGAATGTTCGTAGATCAAAAGGGCCATAATTCTGTCAAAATCTATGCTACAGTTATAAGACTTGGAAAATGACCTCATATTACGCTCTGAAGCAAGTGTTATAAGCATATTCCATTAGCTGTTGGTTGATGAAACATGATCTTACAATTATAACTTTAACCAAAGTGTAAAGCCTACGCCAACACCAACGCCTACCGCCCGGGTGTGTAGGAAAACTGGAAAAGACGAGCTAAAAATGGCGTCTGAACATTATTTTCTTTTCCAACGGTAAACAAGGAGCGTCACGTAGTATTCACCCTAACAAAACAAACACCGACAAATATCAGAAACCAAGCGAAATATTATCATTCATCAAGGACGAAAATAATATTTCACGTTAACTATTACTATATGTTGCAGTTTACTCTGCAGATGTTAACACTGAAACCGAATTCACAGACAAGAAATGTAGGTTTGAACGATTTAGAATTTCATATAGGACATAGTTGAAAACAAGCTCAGAACATTAAGAAGCTTGGCTTTATCTGATGATCTACAGTCAAGTAATTTGATTGTATGAAAATGTATGTTGTGTTCTAAAACGTGATCACATGTATGTAACTGAGAGCGTAAATTTATCTCAAAGCCGGCTGGCAGAGCCAGATTTAACACTGCAGACAATTGCAGACTAAAATCAGCCTCTTCCGGTTCATTGCCTATATTTACTACGGAAAATAGTTCGTAGTATAAGGGGAAGGAACTCCAGACTAATCCGCGTCGTGTGAGTCAAATTCATTTTTATTTTAATTTTTAACGAAATTGATCGATGGATTTGTCCAGAATGAAATGTGGACAAGTTTATGTAAGATATGTCGCGAGGTTATAATAACTGAACGTAATTATTACAGAAGCAAGCTTCTAATTCACATCAAGACAAATCCATCATGTTTTGACTTTGACAAGGTTGTTTGTTTCATTACAATTTTAACAGTTAAAGGTTGTTAGTTTTTTGTTTATATCAGTGTATATAGCCAAGTTTCGTTATCATTCATTTCAACAAGGGTTTAGCCTTTATTTTGAACCAGGCTTATCGGTTATCAGCGCAAGGTCAATTTATGTGTCACATATTATTTGTACTTCAATTACAACTAGCAAATAATGCGTTTATAAGATTTTGTTAAATCAAACTTTGAATCGAATGAATGTTCGGAAACAATCAAGGTTAGGTAAATACATGTATAATGTTCTATATAATCAAAGTAGTGCACTCATCGTAAAGTAAATAAATTCAAACTGAAAAAAAATCTAAAAAGCTATACATGTATATGTGCTGCATTTTTGTTTCTGTTTTTGAAAAGTACTACATCCAAAATGCCTGTATTAAAAAAATATGGTAGTTTTTTGCCTAATGAAGTAAATAAAAAAAACTTACTTAAAATAGCAGCTGCGGCTTATGTGTGTTAAATAACAGAGACATTTTATGTTTCAACTCTTTCAAGAATTGACCATAATATTATAGAAACAATACAATTTAATAGTAATGTTGATAAATAAAATATTTAATGAGACATAGCCTTTACACAGGTGCTCGTCCAGTCTTGGTGCCCATTTAAAAAAAATGAAGTTTAAAAAAAAAAATGAAAAAAACAAAACATCAAAATTACTATTTTGGGTCGAGTGTAAGAAAAAAAAAATTTGAAAAAAAATTTTTTTTTCCTATATACCATTACTACGTAGTAAAGGTATAAAGGAAAAAAAATTTCAATTTTTTTTTTCTTACACTCAACCCAAAATAGTAATTTTGATTTTTTTTTTTGTTTTTTTTTCAATTTTTTTTTTTAAACTTCATTTTTTTTAAATGGGCACCAAGACTGGACGAGCACCTGTGAGCCTTTATACCCTATAAAGATATTGTGGTTTTGTTAGTAAAAACACGACACTGACATCTAGGAAGAGCATCGAGGCACGAGGCTATCTGAGTTGTACGAAGCGTAGTCCCCGACAAATATTTTGATATTTTTCCCGACTGGAACCCATGCGATTCATTTTTGAGGCATGGAAGAGCACGTGATCTATCAACCGTACTTGATTGGTAAATCACCGTTCATTTTTTAAAAAATAAATTAATGAAATCTATACTTCATGCGCAAAAAAATGATAGTTTTAAATGGGAATATGAATGTATATTGAAGTGCAATTAAAAGATTGTAAACATGAAAAGAGTATTGTACTCTGTATCATCAATACGTTTGCAAGAGAAATATCAAACGTCTGGATGATACAGACAGGTGTCCTACTTATCGACCCTCTCCGTTCTCCGGTCTTCGACGGTCACCGGTCGCCAAAGACTTTCTTCTATTGATACTATATTCTCGATACAAACGTTTTGTTTTGTTTTTCAAATTATTTTGAAAACAGTTAAATGAAATATCTTTACATTATTAAAACTAGTCCCCTCAGGAAACCTTTTTAACTTGTTCTCTTTTACATAGGCAAAAACAAAAACACGTTTCTTGTCGTCACAATAAAAAGTAACCAATCAACCAGCGTGCCCTAGTTTCCCGACAGACAGTGCGGGTATTTATAATACCTGCACTCCGGTTAATGCACTGTGCTTTTTGTGGGCATACGATTTAACTCTGACATAATTATTTTCAATAGAAAGATCTCCAAACTATGATACAAGATATGATTGTAACACAGTTAGGGGGCCTTTCTGTTGAATATGTGTCATAGGTTAATCGTATATTATATATACATATATATTGTATCATAGTTTGGAGAGCTTTTTTTCTGTTGAAAATGTGTCAAACATATACATGCACAGTGCGTTAACTGGAGTGCAGGTATATGTTACCCGCACCCCAGAGCATGCCCATTAATTGGCTCATTTTTTCTGGGGTTTACTTATTTTGACGGCAGAGAAAGGAAAAGCGACAGAAATATTATAGTCAGATGTTACTTTTTTTCTGGGGTTTCACATTGTGACAACAGGGAACGTGTTTTTTTTTTGTTGTTTTTTTTTGTTGTTGTTTTTTTGCCTATGATACAAATAAGAACACCAAAAAGCACTCGGCAATCCGATTTATACTTGGGGGCTACGCCCCCTCGTACTCGATACTCTTTCTATTACAAAGCTTTTTCTGAGCTTGCCTTTACTTTGTATGAAATCTGTACGGTCTAAAATTACATAAAAAGATTATCTCTGCGCAATGTCCTTGACAGAATTCATTCAAGGACAAAAACATGTATTTATATGCCGTGGGAAATGAGAAACAATTGCTTTAACTATCTAACTCATATATTTCTAACAAAAGGAAGTTATCGACCTAACAACGCTTGAGGTAATCAATATCACTGTATAGAAAGTAGTTCCTTCGTTTTAAAGAAACAATTATATATCAAGGAAAGAAAATCAATTTCATTTCTTTAAAAACACTTTAAAGGCTACCTAAATAAAAAAAAGTTCATTGTGTGAACCTGTTTAAATATAGCTATTAAGCAAACAAAAACCTGATACGATGTAGTTCAGAATTATCTCCCTTAGATAAGATAGCGTTCATAACTTCTATGCATCAATAAAATATGACGAATTCAAAGAAGAAGAAAAAAACATTTTATTTCAGTTTAATTATGTATAGTTAAATGTATACATAATAAAAAGTTAACATAATTCAAGGTAATTGCATATATCAGATCATTTATTTAAATACCGGTACACAAAGTGTTCATAGAAAAGGGCCCATAACTCTGGTAAACTCTTTTGCAAAAAATTCCTTGATATTCAACAAGTATTTTAATTTAAAGTAATTATCTGAGCTGATTTATAAGAAAATTTATGACAATATAAAAAGTAAATGAATTAAAGGAGCTTAATTAGCAAAAATGCCCTTCAGGGTTATCTGTCCTTTAGAAATGCATTTCTTTTTTTGCATTCCAGTTTATTGACCATAACCTATTACCTAATACCTATTAAAATCACAGTGACCTTGACCTTTGACTGTTTGACAACGGGTAGAAGTCAACAAGTGTATCCACATTTAACTTTTCAATTTACAGCTTAATTAGAATTGAAGTTAATGACCATAAACGGAAACCAAAAAAGTTTACCGATGACGTCCCGATGCCGACGCGTGGGTCATGACAATACGTCCACTTTTTTTCTCTGAAAAAGTGGAGCTAAATATCATTATCAATGAAATATATATTTTCCAATGAAATGAACTTTTGTATCGATTAAAACAAAATAAAACAATGCATTGTATAAAGAAATATGTTACATTTGTATTTAATTTTATTAATTTATTGCGCATTGATGATTTTGCTTCGTCAGAACTATGCGAAATTTGTATAACTTGACTCATCTTTGTCTGTTTTCGCATCTTATCAATCAATCAACACATGTTTTAGTTTTTCTCATCAAATGAACTTGACATTTTTATTTGCAAAAGATGTTTGCGTTACATATGTCTGTTGTTGTAACTGGTTTTTATTGGTTTTTATGTTGTTGTTTTTTTATGTTGTTTTTTTTCCCTCCACCAAATAGTCCAAGATATCAAGGCCATCTTCATCTATCAAAATTACCTTTTTCAAAACAAATTGGATGTTTATGCGATTTTTTATGATTGCGTTTTATAATTGTGTTTGACGTCGTATTAAAAAAAAACCAAACAAACAAAAAACTTTCGATTAGAAAGTACATGTATATTACTTTTTAGTTGAATCTGAAGCATTTCCCGCCCCATGTCTAACCCTTGTTCGGGAAAGAAGTTCCTCAGTGAATTTTACATCCCTGTGCTTTTTCCCTCACCTTTCCATTAAGCATTTCACATTTCCTGTTCATTTCCCGACCCTCGGTGCATTTCCCGCCCCTCTGTCCACCACCCATCCCTCAAGGCGTTCCCCGTCCCCTTATCACCTACGATGGTGCATTTGCCTTCCCCAGCATATTCCACCGTGGGGGGGGGGGGGCATTTCCCAAACCTGTCCACCTTTCGCCCCTTATTTCCCAGCCCAAAGAGCAATATCTTCGTTTAACATCAGTAAGCATATTGCTCCCAACAACCTCTAATTGGACAGTGTCCGTGTAGAAAAATGCAGTTCGTGAGACATCGTCCAAAAAATGTCTCGATGTCTCTTTAACAAGTCTTATTAGTTGGGGCTACCCCACGCCCCTCCCCATCTCCCGTACCATAGTGTCCCTCCTTAGAATATTAAACTTTACAGACCGTCTTATAATTATTTTTTTTTGGACACATTTTAGGATACTGTTTTGTTAACCGAGTTAATTTAAGTAGAACAAGGTGGATACATGTATATCCGTTAAACTTTGAATTGAATGACAAAATAGTTATGTAGCGAGATCTTGTTTCGACACTTTGTACAAAATGCGACATGCGATCTTTAAATGTTTTTTTACGTAATAGTTATAGTTTATGACCTGGGGCGACATCGAGGGTATTTCTCCACAGAAAATGGCCGAGAACATTATCTGTAGAGAAACCCCGAGATACATTTCCACGAGACAGTTGAGTTCGATATACTGTTGTATCTCTTGATAAATAGAATTAGATTTGACATTTTAATATAATTATATTTTTTCTACCCTATATGAGTTTAATTTCCCACGTGGAACCTCAGTTACTTTTATGGTACATATAAATGATGATGGCGGTGTGGTAGTTTTCACTCCGGATCACGGCAGTAAGCCACATTGAATTTACCAGAGCACAGTTCCGCCACAGCATCGTTCTTGGGCAAACTGTCAAGCAGTTTACCAAGCCTAGTTGCTTCACTTTCGCGAGGAACTGGTAACTTCTGTAGAGGTACAGTACGAATGGTCGTAGAAAGGATTTCATGATCAATCACAACGGAAGTGGCCTGCACCGTCCGGAAATTGAACCCGGATCGCCCGATTATAATGGTCTACCGGACAGTTACATGTAAACGACCAAATTTTGATTTTTTTCTTATTTTAAACCCCAAAACGCGAGAGCCAGTCAGAAATATTGGGGATGATCCCGATTGGTTGGATGATCACAGAAACAGAAAAAAACATTGCTGTAAAGATTTATGGCTCTCTGGTACTAATTAGGACTTTTAATCACATGGAGAAAGATGGGTTTGAAAATGTATTTAAGTAAAACAATTATCCAGTATTTTCTCAGGAACTTAAAATTTATTAAAAATACGAGAATTCCTCCACGAAAAAGAGTTCACACAGGCACTCAGCACCAAATTACTTTTATGATAAATGGTTTTAACGTTTAGTGTGAAAACACATAAGTATATGTTTCAATCAAAACTGTTTCTTAAATGAAGGCCATATCTCCAGTACCCCATTGCCTATCCCCAATCTGAATATATTCGTTATTTTCCATACAGTCCAGTGACATTTTGCATCGTTTTCGTCTACGTTTTCGAATCAAGTAAACTTTATTTGAAATAACGCCCACTTTTTTTAAAAGAAGTGTGCGTTATCTGAGATATTGCACAGTGCATATTTACCGATAAAGCATGTTACTGGCGTATAACAGTTGCGGATCATCAAAGACAAATCACCGCATCATGTGAGAAGTAAGTAGAATTTGCATCGCAAGACTTATTACCAGCCTGCTATTTAATTCCAAAAAAATGACGACAGCATTTCAAATTCAGTTTGCGTTTTAAAAAGATCTAGCAAAGAGTTACGACCTGCTTAAATCTTAAGTTAATGTTGATTGTGTATATATTCAGTGTTTTTAAACGTTAGCAATTCTGACAACACCTACTGCAACGCGACTTAGTCTGATTCTAAAAATAAATGCCCCTTGTGGCGTAGGGGTTGCCTTACAGATTTCGGCATTAAACTTGCAGCCAACGTTTAGCCGCGGGTTCGAAAAACTGGAGTCTATATGCATTTCTTAGCTCCAGCAGGTGAGGTAGTTTACGCTACTGGTGTTGACACTTGACGTTAGCAAAAAATCATTTTCCCGGATTCAACGCCATACGACCTAAACTGTGTTGCTGCGCCGTAAAACCAAACAAACGGAGCATTGCTAATACAGCATACAACAAGTATACAGCATACAACAAAGTGTAGATAACATTTTAACATTGTATTTCAATTAACAGCTTTGTTTAAACCTAGTCCCTAATTGAACTTTTTTGTACTTGCAACAACAAAACACTTTTTCGTGACGTGTCTGACAACACAATCTTTGAACTATGAGCAGTTATATAACAGTTATATATCAGTTATATATCACACTCACATAGTTATATATCACACTCAATAATGCAATATCAAACGTTATTTTACAATAAGGTCACGTTTACATATGATATATACATGGAGATAAAAGTCAGGCCAGGTCAAAAAGTGTTTCTTTATAAAACCTGGACTATCTTATGTATTGTATAGTGTATTCTAGTACATCAATACGTTCAAGAGTTTCACCCTTAAAGTGCATTACAATTAATCTGTTTTGAATATTAAATGTTTGCTAATTTGCATTAATAAAGCTAATTAATATATTTATGTCTCTTTCGAATCTACATTTCATCTACACAATACCGTACAACAAGCTTTGATGTCTTAACAAATAGTGTGCAAGAAGCGTTACAATTAATTCGACTTGTATCTTAAAGCTGCATACGTCAAGATGAGCTCTAATATTTTTAGGAAATCAAACTTGAGAAAATGTACAAAGACTTTAAGTTAAGTAAACGGTTCAAGATTCGATTAATAATTTACATGTTATGTGAGATTAATGACTGATTTAACGGGGGAAAATCGCGATATTTCCACTGCGATACGAACGCAGTAAGGGATATTTTTGCATATTTTCACTTCATATTTTGGTAACTTAAGTAGATTGTAAGTGCCGTTTGCGATATTTAAAATTACTTTCTTTGTTCACCTCACACAATTTTATCATTATATTTCTTTTTCAAAAATTTCACGAAAATAAGCAAGAATCTGGAGGCCTGCGGCTTTAAATGTTTTCTAATTTGCATTGATATAAGTAAATAGTTTATGTGTGTTGTGGCTCTTTTATATCTACATTTTATCTACATACTACTGCTCAATAATCGTTTACTGTCATGGCTGTGTGCATTTATATGCATCATAAAACATTGTACAATTGTCAATTCATAAACGATATATGTGTGCATAGACCGAATAAAATATCGAAATTTGACATTTTTTACATTACAAACTTTGACTAAATTCACGACGACCTGACATTAGTTTGCACCAAAAGAGACAATAATCAAAATAACGATACGTCAGGTTATTTCCGGTCAAGCATATCAGAGGAAAATATTATAAAGGCATAGATCTATGTACATGTAGATCAATCACGTTGGTAATGTGTGTAATTCTATATAATCTACATAAACGTCAACATCGCGTCTTCAAATCAGCAACATGTTATTTCCATTACAGAAACATTAAATACGTTGGTAAAGGATATTGCAATTAAAATAACTAGTATACAAATTATTAAGACATGTATATTATTATCAAATGACAATTCCGCTACGTTTATACAAGTATTTTAATTTCTCTCACATTTCCCTACCCCCTAATAAGATGCGATTAACAGATATGTATAAATATATATACAAAATATTCACGAAAAATTAATAAATTAAACAACTGTTATTTTTCTCGCACAATAAAATCTGATTTAAAAAAAATCCTGTTTAAATAAAGCATCAGTTTTTGAACAAATATTAAATTTTAAACATACCCATTATTTGAACTATAGTCCACCAGCGTTATATCCCAGACTAAGTTATAAAAGTCTCGTTCTATCTATTATATGTCAGGTCAAATCTCGAGTGTTCCCTTTTAGATAACGTTAAACCTAGCTCAGTCTACATTTTAGAATGGTTAACAAAATAACAAACAGTACACGTGCTGCAATATGTCTATTCTTAAAGGCCCATTATGCCTAAAATTGATACATTTGTATATATATTTTTTTTTCAATTTTTTTTTTATTTTATTTTGGTGTCCTGTAACTCATTTGCCATACAGCAAAGCAATATTTTGTGTCCCCTTAATTAATTCGGGAAATTACAAATATATTACAGTTAAAGTAATTTAGACGTTTTTAAGTGGAAGTCAAAATACTACTTTGTTTATATTTTGCTACTTTGATCACAAATGAGCCATGTCACGACAAAACCAACATAATGGGTTTGCGACCAGCCTGCGCACCCGCTCAGTCTGATCAGGATCCATGCTGTTCGCTTACAAACCCTATAACAAGTAGAGAAACTGATAGCGAACAGCATGGATCCTGACCAGACTGCGCGGATGCGCAGGCTGGTCTGCATCCATGCTGGTCGCAAACGCACTATGTTGGTTTTGTCGTGACACGGCTCAAATCATGTCACGTTCAGTCGATGTTTTCTTCAGGCAGGTGATGAGGATCTTACATGTTGTAAATCTATCATTACAACAATATAAAACACAGGTTTGCCCTTTCTGCAGTAAGGAAAATACATTCATTTTTTAGGCTTAATGCGCCTTTAAACCCTTTTTTCTATACTGCTGACAGTTTTTGTATAACTTTTTTTACATATTTTTAAGTTCAAATAGATTAAATTTCTTTATAATAAGTTTACGCATTACATCACTTTTCTAATTTCCTGTAAAACATGCATTTACGAAGCGTAGTGATTTAAATATTTTTTATGATAACACTTTATATGCACGAAGAAACATATTTGTGCAAAA